AATCCAATAACCCGATAACCCCAATAATTCAATAACCCCAATATCCCAAAAAAATTGTAGGGTCAAACAACAGTAACCTTGAGCTTAAACTTCAGGTTGATTTTCAAAGTCGACTTCATGTATTCAAAGCCTTCATGAGAAGTGTCATTTTCCATTTTGTGGGATAACATGTTATTTCCATTCTTTTTTCTGGTGTAATTCCGGACAAGCCTACAAAGTTTCAACTAAATTGTTTAATAACACTTTTTTAGTATTGTTTATGACAATAGTGATTCGCGAACAGTCCTTCTCAGGATAGTTCAAATGTAATTTTCTTAGTCGACTTAAAAGGAGGGAATATGCCGGATTATTCGAGAAACGAAATTGTTGATATTCTGTTATCTCTCGGGGCATGTCAAGGCCGATATCGTGCTGCGGCAAGGTATTATCGCCAAAATTACCCAGGGAGGCTTCACTACCCGAACCACGTGAGAATCCGAATCATCGAGCAACGAGAGAGACGTCGACCCCGAATACGCAGAAATCGTCGTCGCATTATGATGCCGAACAACGATGATCCACGAATTCTCGTCGTTTTAGTAATGGTTGATTTGGATCATCATATCTCGTTTCGTGAAATTCAGAGACGTACTGGTATCCCAAGATCAACAGCCGCTAGATTTTTGCGGCTGTACAGATTTTATCCGTATCACATAACTTTGACTCAAGCTTTGATGCCAGATGATCTCCGCTGCAGACTCGAATTCTGCAATTGGGCACAAGCAAGGATTCGTGAAGATCCTGAATTTTTCAGATACGTCATGTTTTCGGACGAAGCTACATTTCATGGTAATGGGCAACTCAATCGCCATAATAGTCATTATTGGTCTATCCAGAACCCTCATTGGGTACGTCATGTTGATAATCAGCATAGATGGAGCCTCGTAGTTTGGTGCGATATAATAAATGGTTATCTGATAGGACCTTATTTTTTCGATGGGAATGTCAACGGCGCAGCATATCTTGATTTCCTGCAGAATGAATTACCAGAATTATTGGAAGATGTAGACTTGGAAACCAGAAGACGATTATGGCTTCAACAGAATGGTGTACCGTGTCATCGATCACTAATGGTTCGTCACTTCTTGAACCAACGATACCGAAGACGATGGATAGGCATTGGCAGAACATTACTGAGTGGTGTCCAAGATCACCAGATCTGACAAGTCCAGATTTCTTTTTATGGGGCTATTTGAAAAATGTTTATGCACAGCAACCAACAACACGGCAAGATATGATGCAACACATCATACAAGCTTGCAGAGCTATTCCGCGTCACGTTTTGATGTCCACAGTTGAAAATTTTAAACGTAGAATTCAACACTGCATAAATTTGAACGGGGGTATTTTTGAACATCTTATGAGATAAATGTTTGTGTTACAATCTTGACCATAACTCTATCTGTAGTCAACGTCTTGTCTTGATTGGCTGAGCATTCCCACCTTGCCTTCATTAGCTGGGTAATCAATACCTTGCCTTCACTGGCTGGGTAATCAATACCTTGCCTTCACTGGCTGATAATCAATACCTTGTTAACCTCACCCTTGCCGCGGTGGGATGAGGGGATGAACCGCTCCACCAACATAATACTTTATCTAAACGTAGAATTTCCCGCTCATTTCGAATCCGGGATAAAAAATGGGGGTCCTTATTCAAAATATCTCTTGGTTATTGGGTTATTGGGGTTATTGGGGTTATCGAATTATTGGGTATTGGAGTTATTGGGTTATTACAATTAACCTTACCCTTGCCCGATCATCCCTGTGCATAGATGAAGAAAATCATAAATTTGACCCCTACATGACCGTAGGCGGGGGGGGGGATTAACCATATCCCACACATAATACGTTATCGATACGTAGAATTTTCCGCTCTTTCCGAATCCGGGATCAAAAATATGGGTTCCTATTCAAAAAATGACTTTGACCTTCAAATGACTTTGAAGATAAATCTCAAGGTCAAATCGGATTTCACAGAAAGGTTGCCCCCATTGTCCCAAACAACTGTTGTCTGAGCAATTTTTTTGTACAACGCCAACCGTCGAAAATTTCGGGGTGGTTCCTTTAAAATGGGACACCCTGTATAGGAGAGTATAGAGAGAGAGAGAGAGAGAGAGAGAGAGAGAGAGAGAGAGAGAGAGAGAGGGATAACGTCGATGCATGCCTAAGCGTTGCGTGCCAAAAGACTGCGTGAAACTAGCGTTTTCGACCGGTGTGGGCATGGAAAAGTGACGTGAGAATGCGTTGCTTTATGCAGCGTCAAGTAGGCTAATGAGCGAGAAAGCGGGCAAGTCATGTGTCGGCAAGAGGAAGAGTGATACGTACCAAAAGTGTCTGAAAAAAAGAACAACGACTTAGAAAATTGCCGAGCTGCACCAAGAGCTGGATCTACGAACTTTTTCGAATAATCATCATCGTTGAACCATCACCTCGAGCACTGCTGGATATTTAACGGGTTATTTCCTGAAACTCTCTTTCTCTCTCTCGATTCTTGCTCCACGGCCGGCGTCCGTCGTCGTAAACGCGAGGATCAGGTTTATTATAGGTATAAACGCGAGCATCACGTTTTCTTTAAATGCTTTTCATCATACTTATACGAGTATAATAACAATAATTGTGTTATTGCCAAATGCTAACATTTTAAAAATCTGAAAAATATTATTAGAAATAAATAATACGCACCAAAATTGATCAAAACCAAAAACAGAAAAAATAAATAAATAAAAATATAAGAACTAAAAAAGAACAGATGAAATTAAACAAAAAAGTTAGATCAACGTTTAAGGCTTCTTCTTTGAGGAAGCAAAAATAGTAAAATGTGAATTTCATATACCGATTAGCAAGCTTCTAAAAAATAATTAAATTTTTAATACTAACCTCAGCTTAAAACGGGATACTACATGGATCACTTATAGGTAGAGTGTAAAGGCACTACTTTACTGATATGTTTTTCTACTGTATAGTATATTTGTCAAGTAGTGTAGCTTCAAACCTATACCGGCCAGAAATCAGTTACCAGGACCTAGACAAATTCGGTCACCTGAGCAAAGCAATTCTTGTAAAGTAAATCCTTCCGTGAATTAGATACACCGATTGACCATCTTCTAAAGAATTATTAAATGCTTAATTCAAACTTTGCCTTAAATGGAATATTACGTGGTTTAACTTATCAGAAGAGTAGAAAGCCACTACTTTTTCCAATGTGTAGTCTATTTTTGAAGCAGTGTACCTTCAAATCTATACCGGCAAGAATTCAGTTTCCAGGACCTAGAAAAATTTGGTGATCTTCTCAGCAAAGCTTTTGTTAATAAGAAAACCGGCGCGTGAATTTGATGGACCGATTGACAAGCTTCTAAAAAAAAATTAAATTCTTAAGACCAACCTCTGCTTGAAACGGGATACCATATGGATCATTTATAGGAAGAGTATAATGCTACTATTTAACTCATAAATTTTTTTTGTATATAGTCTATTACTTAAGGCTCGTAGCTTCAAACCTTTACCAACAGCAAATCATTTTCTAGATCCCTAATGAATCCGAGAATCTCTTCGGTAAAACGATTCTCAAATTCCCAAAATCATTATACTTTATGTGAAAAGTTAGAAAGCTTACCGATAAGCTTTTATACTGTATAGGATACCTCGAAGCTGTATAATTTCAAAGCTGTCAAGGGAAGAATTCACTTCCAAAGAATTACATAAATTGGGATTTTTTCTTAGCTAAGCAATTCTTGAAAGCGAAACCTTGATTGAATGCGATTGGCTGATTTGCATGGCTCGAAAGAAAAAATTAAATTCTTAATATATTTAAATTCGCCTAATACGAAATATTAAATGGCGTAATTTTATGAAAAGTAAGACACTTTTATATCAAACCGCTTTTGTAATTTATATGTTGAAAACGAAATGATTGCTCTATGTGCTATATTTAATAGTGATATTATGACTTTTTTCCCACTTTTTTATTATTAAGAGTTAGAGCTCAAATATCTTCTTAACATGTAACGTTGGATTCTTTAATTTAGTCATTTATTTCATAAAGGTTCTCGGAACCATTCAAAAGTAAAATCAAAAAGTCCTCGAAACCATTTTTCTTTACTTTAGTAAAATCAAAAAGTCCTCTAAACTAATTGTCTGTACGATACCCTTTCGGGGACGTTTTCGAAATCGACAAATATTCGCAGAACCTCTCTATTGCAGGATCTATATCCTCGGAACCTTTCATACACATATATCATCATGTGTGTGTGTGTGTGTGTGTGTGTGTGTGTGTGTGTGTGTGTGTGTGTGATTATACTGAAAAAAACAGAATATTTTATGTTAAGTCACATTTACAACAATATTATTTTCGATTCGATAGATTATTTTATATTGATATTTATTTATATGCTATTAAAAATTCATATAAATTCTTAAGTTTTTTTTTGTAGAATCAGCTTTTGAACAAAAGCTCAATGATTCCTTTGGATGCACTATTATCAATCATTTATGTTATTCAATTCTATTGAATTAGATTACAAATACTAATTTTATCAAATTCTAATTCGGGTATATTAAACAAAAGATATAAAATTTAGACTTTTTAATATAGTTTAATCAATTTAAATGTTCTGATTAAGTAATAACAATTAAATACATAAGCTATAAATAAGTGAAAATTTACAAAGAATGTATTTTCTTTACATCATAGTAGGCTATATTCATAGTACGTAATTCGACAAACACCAAAGATAAGGAAAAATCGTTGTTTTCTCTACTTTGAAGATTTTTTACAATGATTAAAATATCTAGTCGATTTTCTAATAATTAATTTGGATTAATTTAGTACAACATTTAATTGATACCATAATAATAACATATCAAGGGAGAAATTAAAAAAATTTAATACAATTGAGAGATTTAATCTTATAAAATTAAAAGGAAAGGTGGATTCATAGATATATATGAAAACATATACATACCTTTGGTGGTTGCATACCAGGAACTTTTAATATTGAAATCATTATTTTTAATAGAGGAGTAAAATTATTCAATGCTGGTAAAACAATAACAAGCCGTCGGAAAAGTCCTTCAAACTGTATTAAGAGCCCACTCCATGTTGATGTTCCAGAACCTAAACCAGCTTCTAACGGTAGACATTCTAAGTAGTTTGATATATTACTCAGAATGGTTGTGAGATTTTCGTTTGGCAAATTTTTTTTCGCAATAAGACTCTGTAAATATAGTAGATAATATTATACAAATCACTCACATACAAAATCATATGTTTTAATTAATTTGTAAATTTTTGAGCGGATTGAAATAAGTCTGTTTATATGTGATAGTAAATGTAGTCATTATTTAATACGAGATGTTTGAAATGAATGTTTATGTAACGAAGCGCAGCTTTGCGACCAATTTAATAAAGATAATAAGAGAGACGCTTTTGCTCTTAGCATTCGAGAGGGAAGGGTTGGGAGAAATGGCTGATAAATAATTACACACAACCGTTTAAATTTAATACCCTCAATCTCATTTAATAATAAACTCAAATCTTATTTATTAAACTTAAATCAAAACTCATCATAACTCTTATAAAACCTACTAAACAAACTTAACTCATCCATCTACTAAATATTGCAAATTAAATCTACCGCGAAAGAAGGAGTGAATGGCTCGGCGAGTCAAAGCCTTGATAATCCGATACCTAACCAAGAGCCGCTACTTTTATCGCAAATCGTTAAGATAGCCGATGAATGGACGCCTTGCTAAATTACTATTTTTTTGTAACTTATGGTCTCTGACGGACAGCTATAATACAGAGAGAGAGAGAGAGAGAGAGAAGCAACTTGTTAGAGAGAGAAAAAAGACTTGACCTCTTATGCTGTGCTGATTGGAAAATGCAGTTGACTCGCTTCCCCTGGGGATGTCCGACTCTGCTACGTAGAACTCGTTGATTCGCATGGATATCAGCAAATTGATCAAACAATCTGGCTTAAACTTCACTGTTTTCGAGACAAAAAAGGTAAGCATAAATTGACGTTGCCACGTCGATCATGGCAAACGATTATTGAACTTGTAGAGGAAAAAAATGCTCTCTCGCAATGAATAATTCTCATCAAAGAAAAGAGCGAGCGAAAGATCTCTAACCAAATACCGGCTGTGGCCTCTTAGCAGTCACCGGCTCGCTCTCTCTCATTCCCTTTTGACGTACTTATTAGACGGTATACGAGTCAGCTCTTATCGGTTGTGCGTCGTATGCCTGCCTAAATCTGCACATTGTGTGCGCGCTCTCTCATTAAATGTTGCTCGCTTCCTTTATTGCGCTCTTCACGTCGACTTGGCCACTTTTATCAATTTTCGAGGGCTAAACGGCTGAAACAAAAGGTCACTAGTTACGCGCATTCTTACTACGCATCCAAGCTGGCTACTGAATTTCCTGCCAGCAGCCTTCGCCAGGTCAGGTCGTCTCTCTCTCTTTCTCTCTCTCTCTATTTGCGAATGCGCGACGCATCGGCGAGGTGCTTGCGATCATCCGCGAGCAAAGCGAAATCGGCGAACAAGGCGATTTGTCAGTTCCTCCTTTGAAGTCCTCTCAGTTATTGTAACGTGCCCCCGGCGTTTGTCCGCATGAGCAAAGGCACGCTGCCGCAGAGGACGACGCATAAACCCGCTACGTCGCTCTTTTTAATTGTTAAACGTTGGAGAATAAATATTGTTAAATAATATCGGGAATGATCATTGTGTATGCCCGTTATTCCGTTCTTCTCGAATCAACGCACAAAACGCCAACTTAGTGACGAGGTCCATCGTCACCGTTCAGAGGAGCGAAAGAGCCTTATTTACCTTCCCCTTTAAATAATTTGTGACACGGCGCTTGTGCACGGGCCCTTGCATGGCTCGTGAGAGTTGTTAAAAAGATAATTCCCCGAAACGCGCTTGTAAATTTAATCATTAGTGTCACAGGCCCTTTATCATAAAGGCTCATCTTGGTATGAACTCATATCAACTCCAAAACGAAGATGGAGCTAATATAGGAAAACTGGCTGTCTGAGATTTAAAGCCTTGCTATGACTCCGAGCAATACCCGGAAAGGAAATCTCTGGACAAAGAAACTGCTTCTGATGGCGAGGTCGAAAGCAAGACTGATTTACAAGCGGAGCAGACAATAGTCGCTGAGTCAGTGTTGGTTCCACGGTCCTCACCAACACCTGACACCTCAGTTCAGTTAGACAAAAGCCAAACCTTGGTAAAACCAACAGTGGCGATGCGCCAGTGAGGCCGACGACTAGGCTCAAAGAGGGCTATCCCCCCCCCCACCGATCGTGACATAGCCTCGACGCTTACACCTTAGGAAAATGATGTCAGCTCAATTCAAGTTGTTGACCTCCTGACTTCTGGCTATTTTGATATGTTTAGACAGCTTAAATATGTATACACAATTCTTTGTTTTGCTTTGCCATATGATTAGACTAACCACTTTACTGCCGTTGCGTCCTCGCTTCTTTACTTTTCATTTACATTCGTTACCACGTTAAATTACAGAGGGTGCAAAAAGTGAAAGAGCCAGAGAGGATCACCTTGGCTTTGGAAGGACCAGCCCAATCATGACAGGCGTTCAGGCCTAGATGGCCCAGAAACTCCAGTCCCTAGGAGACCCGTAACGTCGCGTACTACCTATGGTAACGCCTAACATAGCCAATCTCCTTCGCTGCTAGGAGCAGAAAAGCAAGGCCAAGAAGGAATCACAAATGCTCCATTTGTTACCTCAGCAGGAAGAACTTTGATGGCCTTCGAGGACCTTTCATCATCCTCAGAGGCATCGGTCTGTGAGAAAGAAGGAGCAGCCGTGTAGGCGCGGCAATGGGATGCCATAGAAAAGATGGTATGCAGTGCACGTGATGTTAGAATAGCCGCCCAGCCCGTCGAGTACCAGGCCTTCTAGGAGGTTCCTGGAGCACTCTGACATCCACGTCAGGGCCTATGACCAGCGGTATTTCGTACGAAAAGTAGAAAGGGAGCTCGAGAAGGCTTTCCTAGTAGAAGTTGCAGCTCGCTGGGAGGAAGCGAAAGCAGCCCAGGAGGAGAGTACTCGCCTTGCAGCGGAACAAGAAAAAAGACACCAAGAGCTCCTTGCCCTCCAACGCCGCATCGACAAGCTAAATCTCGAAGCGTAGACCCTACTGAACCCCTCTCATCAACTAGGCCATGCCTCAGCGGTGAATCGCCCCGCTCTAGGCCAGGCCAGTAGCGGACGACAAGAGGACCGGGGGGCCTGGTGTAAACAACAACGAGCTGAGGCTACCAAACAGACACAGGATGACCCTGACACCTACTACGCGGCTAATGGGAACTTGATCCCGCAGTACTTTGCCATGCTGCATCGCTACGACGAGCGGCCATGCAGCAAGCATGACAGCCCGTTCCCGACGAAGTAGGGAATCCGCTTTTACAGCGGGGGCAATCTGTCGGCCATTTCAAGGTCGAACAACTGCCCCAATTTCTTCGAGCATTGGAAATTTGAAAGGGGATTGAAGAGGAAGTTCGATTACTCGAACGAGCTGAGGCCGCGCGGTGCACCCCACTAAGAATCTACAGCCTCTCTCTTATAAAGATGATTAGATTAATGAAAAGAGAAAAGTGAAGAAAGAAGACAGATGGAAGAGAACGCGTGTCCACCCGCGAATCTTTTGTTTGCTTTAACCGTGCCTTAAGTTGCCTGCGAACAACGGTACACGGCCATATCTTCCGTGTTTTATTTTGTTTTGCCTTATGGCCTATTCTCTGTTGCGATCACGCCGTTGCGCTTACTTGTAACCGATTATTATTTAAAAGAGAGAGAGAGCAAGTAAAATCTATTAAATATTTATTCATTTTTGTTCTTTATAATAAAGTTAACTTTACTTTATAAAATGTATGAGTCACTTATTTCAGAGAGAGACTAAGTTTCGAGTTCGTACCGCCCTCGTTATCAACGACTGGCGTTGGGGGATATAACGAGTTTATTTCTAAACTCGTTACGTCTCCCTCTCTACCTTCATATCATCCATATCATTTATATAAATTATGCCAATATCCTTTATATGTAATCACATAAGTATTCGACGTAGCAACAGCTGGCACAGCCAAAAGGTGAGAGAGAGAAAGAGAGAGAGAGAGCGAGAGAGAGAGAGAGAGATATGCTCTAACATATACGTCGAGCTGAGAGCGTTTTAACAAGTCAGGACTCACGCGACTGAGACTCAGGTGAAACACCGCGAGCGACAATTAGCCGTTCGACCAGAATCCGCGAACACGTGTCGATTGACGCACTGCATTTGAGGCCCTGCCGATTTCGTGTAGCTTTTCTATTAAGGATAGCAATTCTGGCCTTGCCATTGACACCGACTTGCGACAGCCTCTAGGTGGATAGAGTGTACGTGTGCGGTGTGCCGAGAGAACAAGTAACGTGGGTTTAACGCGAGAACAGCGAGACGTTGTTGAATCAACGAATTTCGACGCTTGAGCGTTTGAAGAAGGCATGGCCGAGGAAAATGTAAGTACCTTCTCGTATTTTGTCACTCTCTTGGTTTGCTTGCTTTTTGTCTCTTACTCTGCGTTGCTTCATTAAACCGCATTGTGATAATTATACATTTGTACCATTTATAATTTTATTTATATAAATAGCAGTTATACTAGTTACCCATTCTTTTGTTTCACCTAACTCTTATCCCTTTCCTGTACTAATTCCCTTCGTATGTATTATTCGCGATTTCTCTTACATTTACCCACGACGCTCTACGCAGGCCAGGAGGTAGTTTGGATGCAAACAACCAGGCTCGTCCGAGTACGAACCATTGCATAAACCCAGTAGCAAATCAAGCATAGCATCGTCAAGACTAATATCTTATAATAATTCATAGTAATTTCCTCTCTATAACGTAGTGAAATTTATAAACCGTTATAACTTCCTACACAGTTAGATATTGGTTTACCATGTACGTTAATGATTGCGGTTTCGAGGCATATAAAGATTGACCTTGACCCCACCGGTTTTTTTTGTCTGAAATAGGCTGCTAAATATATTTTCGCGTATACTATCGAAAAAGAGGAACACATTTTGCAGTTTGAACCACATGAACTACATTCGGTGAGTAAGATTTTTTTGGTCAAGCCATAGTTTGATTTTGGTTTGCCCTGTACATCATCGATTATGATTTACATGGAAATGAAGAGTAACATCATGTTATGTTAA